TGAAAATGACTTTGCATTAGTCTGTTTCCCCGAACAGCAGAGGTAACCAAACAAATATATCGACGAATTGTACCACCGTTAGTGCCATTAGCACAAAACTGAGCACGAGCAGCAACAGTGTGACAGTATGACAAACTCTTAGCATCGTCTGCAACAGCATTTAATCATTTCGTTGACTGGAAGTCAATAAGAACTTACGGGCTCCTTATAGGGTTTAATGTCTAATGTTACTGTTTTTAATGGCTCCTTCTTTTCTTTTTCCACTTTTTCCTTTGACTTTGCTTTTTCTAGAAATTAATGAAAAAGTATCTTAATCAAACCAAGCCGTTGCAAAATAAAAATAATCGTGTGCGCTCGTATCAGGGTTTACCATCGCTAACCGTCCCAGCCGTCGTTCCGCGTTCAGAACTAAGGTCTACATCATCTCCTGGCCTAAACTTTGCTTTTATTTGAGATGAACATTCAACGTTAAGCATACCTTAGAGCGAATTGCCCCACGGTGTTTGCCTCCGTTCTTGCGCCAGCAGCTTTTTTCATCTCCATCGGTGGCTCCGATGGAGGAGGTGGTGGTGGTGGCGGTGGCGGTGGTGGTGGCGGTGGCGGTGGTGGTGGAGGAGGAGGTAAGCCGCTAGGCCCCAGCTGCTCATATGCGTCGTCGGTAGGACCTTCCTTTGACATCACTGCTCACGCGAGTAACGTTATGCAATTAGGCCTTACTTGGTAGTTTTAAATTGTTTGGATGGTAAATGCAATTGTTAACACTCTGTGTGCAATAACATCAGTAACATTTATCATTGATTTGAAACAGATGCCGTAAACTGGGCTAAAGACTTTTCTAGTATAACTAGTTATTATTAAATATTCACTAACTCAAATATAGTGCATGTTAGAGTAAATTATAACATTGTTTGTAGCTGCAAATATAAGAACGAATTAACCTCTTTGTGAGTTACACCTGCTTTCGAAAAGTCCAAGCTTAAAAAGTGAAAAAATGCTGATCTACATTTAAGTGGTTTCGCCATGGTCAGGCTCAACTGCATCCACTCTTACGCCTTCGTTTGAAGTAGTAAAGCAAAATAATTTGAGTATAGATGTAAGAATGGATTTGAGTTGATCTTGACGACGACGTAACCGCCGCAACCTAGATCAGTTTGTTTTTTAAATCAATATTGGTTATAGGCTTCATTAAAATATCTTCAATGAGTCATTCATTTCAAGAATAGTCGCTATTGGACGGACCTAGGCTTACATTTTTTTGTAGTTGTTAAGTGCCAGCTAATCGCAGATGATATTGTATAAAAGTCTGCTTCCGCCATTAGATTGAAGTCGAATGACTTTGCACTGCAACAAAAAGGGGGCGTCAAGATCAATGCTTGATACCTAAACATTCACCTACTTTTGCTCACTCTT